AGGCGCTGAGAGGCGCGGAGGGTTGCGTGTGCGACTGGGGCGTGCGGTCGATGTGAGAAAATCTTGCCATTAAGTGGTTAAAGAGCCCCGGCTTTCTCTGGCTGCATCGAGCCCCAACACCCAGCCGTGGTTAAGCCTAACCGCGTGCTCATCTTCTGCACGGTACTGTGATTGAAATACCTGGAGGTGATGCCGGGGCGGGGGACAGCATCCCTCCCCAAATGAATACTATTTTAATAAAACAATTGTTTTTAAATCATTCGCTAGGCAGAGATCTGGGGTTTTTAAGAACTTCGGCGCTTGAAAGCACCACAAAGCGGAGGTGTGTTTCGTGTGTCTCCTGAAGAAAGTCAGAATACTCTCTCTTAAAACGCTCCAGAGAGAAAATAGGTTTCCTTGGTACAAGATGGGGAAGTCAGTCAGCAGGACAGTGACCGGCAGGACTGCCAACTGAGGAAACTACGCAGACTTAGGGTGCTTAAAACATCTTTAATTGATATTAATCAAGGCGATGTTTGGCCACCTGAAGGCTCCCCGAGCAGTTTGCTGTCAGATTTCCGACAGAAGGAAAGCAGGCAAGTACAGCAAGAACATCGTGCGTTCAGAGCGCTAGGTCAGGGCTGGGCAGCTTCGATTGCCAAGTAAGCTTGGATGAATCACTTGATTTCGCTGTAGTTCAGCTCTCCCTCAATCGAAAGAGAGATTCCTCCCTTTCTCTTAGCCCCACATGGCCTGCTTTTATCAATTGCAAGCTTTCAGGGCAAAGATCCTCCTTTTGCAGGAAGGTACAGTAATAAAATGGGCCAGGATCTCAGTCAAAGCCTTTTAATGCTGACACAAAGGATAATAGCTAGAAAGGAGCATAAACAAAGGAGGGGGAAAAACAGCAACTGCTGAAAAGCCAGCTGGTTGGCTGATAGCGAAAACAAGATGGGCTAGAAGGGGATGGTAGAAAATAAAGTCATTCAGTTACAGACTGAGCCTGTTTTCTCTGCCCTTAACACGTCTGACCTCTTTTTGAACTCTTCTGGGAAGAGTGACTCAACTTTCTCAGTCAAGCAACACTGTTCTACTGAAACCCTCTGCTCCACAAGCTTCACTTTGGGATTTCCCCA